GCTTTTTTCTTTTTGCTTATGTGGTGCTGAGGAATTGAACCCAGGGCCTCAGGCATGCAAGGCAAGCGCTCTACCACTGAGCCAACTTCCCAGCCCCAAAAATATCATATATTCTTATCTTTAACATCAGTATCTAAAGAAAGTAGTCAACACTTCATAAATTAAAAGCGGGAGGGGGAGGTGAAGCAAGGACACAGGATGACCCAATGCAAGAATGATACTCACAAGACACTATGTTGGAAATAAACTTTACAACTTTGGCTGGGGGTGGGGAGGAGAGGGACGGGATAGCAGGAGAGAAAGGGAGTAACAATGTTCGACAAAAAATGTACTCATGACCTTACTCATGTAACTGTGACCCCTCTGTATAGCACCTTTACAATAAAATATAATTTTTTAAAAAATCAACATAAGCAGGGTGCCGGTGGCTCATACCTGTAATCCTAGCTACTCAGGAGGCTGAGATCTGAGGATCATGATTCAAGGCCAGCCCGGGCAAGAAAAGTCTGTGAGACTCTTATCTCCAATAAACCACTAGAAGACCAGAAGTGGCGCTGTGGCTCAAGACTTAGAGCTCTCCTTGAGTTGAAGAACTGAGTAATAGCGCCCAGGCCCAGAGTTCCAGCCCCACGACCAAAAAAATAAAAATAAAAATCAATATAAAATGGAGAAAAGGGAGGGGGAGAAGAAAGAGGAAAGGCTAAATGGGGGGGATGACTGCCATAAATACTTTTTTTTCAAATCTGAAAATTTTGTTTTTATTAAATATAAAAATTGTCTAAGATACCTTCCCAAGTCATACTGTAATGAGACCATCCATGATAGATCAGTCATTTCTTTCCTGAGATGTAAGATGTAACTAAAGATAAAATGCTGAAAAAAAATTGTAAAAAGTAGCTATTAAACCATCACTGATTGTAATTAATATGTACCTCACATGTTTGGGTAGTGAGCTGTTTTCTATTTCCATATAGTTGAAGTTTAATTCTTTTTTATCGTTTAATGTTGTAAGGGTGATGTCAGAGGGGTCACAGTTACACGATTAAGGTAACGAGCACATTTCTTGTGGAACACTGTTAGCCCCTCCTTTGTTCTGTCACCCCGCCCCAAGTTGTAAAAGATCATTTCCAACACAGTGTCTTGTGAGTATCGCTGTTGCACTGTTTACCCTTTGTCCTTTGCCTATTTTGCAATTCTCTTTTCTGAAGTTTAATTCTTTTAATATCCAAAGTTCAAACCATTCTTAAGCACCTCTCTTCTGTTTTAAACAACAAAAGTAATAAACCAAATATTATACAAATACTACTAGTGATTCTGATAACTGCTTACTTTTACAAGTTTTTCACAACTTAGATCAGAATCCCATAGCAACAATCAAATTCATATTTATAACCACAGAAATAAAAGGACTCTCACTGACCCTAAGCTGCTGTCAGCTACTGTTCAAGACAGAAGACACTTGTCAGACATATTTAATCAACAGTGGTATTTTAGAAGAAAGATAAGCTTAATTTTTAATAGCTTCATCTCTTTTTTTCTGCAAATATTTGAGTCCTTATCACTGCTGAAAATTAGTCTGGACTCCAGACATATAATGGTTAAACCACAGAGTAACTATGAAGCAAACAATCTGACATTGATAAAATTATCATGCTAATGAAAATTAAAACTGATACATCCTAAAAAAATAACCCTAAAGTAATAGTCCATGACAACATTTAATAAGAACTAGAGTTCAAAGAGTTTTTGAGATAATAATGCTTTAGCTGAAAATTAAAAGAATGAATAGTTGTATTCATAAACTGACACAGTGAATGGTAACCCTTTTGTAAAACCACCACAAAGTAATAAAAATATAATTTAAAAAAATCTATTTGTTGATTTATTTATTATTTTTCACCTTGGCAGTACTGGAATTTGAATTCAGATCTTATACTTGACAAGAGGAAACGTAAATCTGGACATGGTAGGTCCTCATTTTTGTTAATATTTATAATGTGACTATTTTTAGAGTTTGGGGTTTATTTTTTTGACCTGATCTTATTTTCAAAAAGTAGACATTTAAATTTAAGTAAAGAGTTAATATTTGAGAAAAACTAGATTTAAAAATACAGGAGGTAGACAGAGAAGTTGTGAAGGAACTGACAGTCATTTTCTGAATGTTTTCAAGAGTTTATTGTTTATATGGCTTTGTTATATTTTATAAAAATTTCCAATAAGACTTATAATGTGGCTCAAACAGAGCTCCTGCCTAGCAAGCACAAGGATGTTAGTTCAACCCAGTGTCCATTTAAAAAAAAAATGCTATACTGTTAATGCTTAAGGTGATGTGTATATACATATATTCATATATACGTATGCATGCACGCATGTCTGTTGTCATACACTTCTATTTTTATATGTACAGATCTACAGTTAAAAAATATATTCTAATATGTTGATATAATTTGTTTTTCTTGAATATTCAAGTTAGTTTAGGCATTTCAGGGTTGTTGTTTTTTTTCTTTTGGTGGGTGAGGGGAAGACATGGTCCTGTGATTTAGTGGAGATGAAGATCCACAGACTTTCCTGCCTGAGCTGGCTTCAAACCGTGACCCTCAGACCTCAGCTTCCTAAGTACCTAGGACTCCAGGCATGAGCCACTGGCCCCAGGAAGGTATTTCAGTTTTATAAACAACAATACTAAGAATATTTGTGTATATATACTTTGACTTGTCTAGCTTAAGAATAAAATCATAGGGTTGGGAAGGTGGCTCAGTGGTAGAGCGCGTGCCTTGCATGGATGAGGCCCTGGGTTCGATTCCTCAGCACCACATAAGCAAAAAAGAAAAAAGCCAGAAGTGCTATGGCTCAAGTGGTAGTGTGCTAGCCTTGAGCTGAAGAGCTGAGGGGCAGCGCCCAGGCCCAGAGTTCAGGCCCCATGACCGGAACCCCGCCCCCCACAAAAAAATAGTTTTAAGAGCAAAAACATTATTCCAAGCTTTAACTTAGAAAACAAGATCCAAGATTAAATAAATTTGAATCTAGTATAATGCATATGATTAATGGTCTAAATCAGTGAATTTTATCAACTTTTGGAGCACCTGCTGCTGAAGCCGGTGTTTATCCTCTTCTATCTGCCGAGTCTTCAACCTCTCCAGCTCCACTTGGTGAACACAGTCTTCTTTGGCTCTACGGATGGAGTCCTGAAGTTCTTGTAGGTTCCGCTCGCGTTCAGACTGCAGTTCCCTTTTCTCCCTTTGAACCTTAAAAACAAAAACATCCTTAACAGGTTGAGCTATTACTAGCTGTGTCATACTGTGAAACAGTTGATCATCACTACCATCAGTGAAATGTTCAGAATACTTCTTAGTATTAGAGAGTTAATGTTTAGACGATCAATGTTTAAATGTATGGTGAGATTAATGGAAAAAGGAAGGGTGGGAGAATACAGTCATTATACCCAATGTACACATGAGAAAATGGATCCATGAAGTTATGGGTTGGAGACAAAGATTGGAAGACGTGACATTGACCAAGATGCAGCGTCCTTATAAACTTATCTATTGAACTGAACACCTTTGTAAAACTAAAGACAATAAAAAATACACAATGATTAAAATTGCTTATCACTTAATACTAATATATGAAACTATAAAAAATCCATATATAACCTGTATAAGCTCAAATGAAAATTCCCATTTGGATAAAGACTTTAGTACAATTATATAAAAGAAACATACCTGATGTTTTTTTTTTAATTATAGAAACTGTTGATTCTTTGCCTAAGCACTTAGAAGATATATTTAAGTTTAAACCCTAAATCATTTAGAAATCTCAGAAATTAGACAGATTAGGGTGGTTGCTCAAATTTTTAAGAAATATTATGGTTAGAGAATGACATATAAATTTAATACTATTTAAATTCATTTCTAGAAAAACTTTTTTTTAATATAACCTAGTTAAGATCTAATTTAATGCTGATTGTTAGGATGTAATCTTTCTTATGTTTTATCTAGCTTAGGTTAGCCTTGAATTCATGATTCTCCTGCTTTAGCCCCCTGAGAGTATGCGGTTTACACTGCCACACTAGGCTTGGAATTCCATTAGCCACCCTTTCACATAATGGCAAAGTAAACCAAAAACTCCTATTATGGGAAGAAGTTAGCCCAGTTGGCTAAAAGAAGGTCGACTACTTCAAATAACAAACATTTTTCTACCCATTCCCATCAAAAAAAAAAAAGAATTTTTTTTTGGTCATGGGGCTTAAACTCAGGGCCTCAGCAGTCTCTGAGCTCTTTTGTTCAAGGCTAGCACTCTACTACTCTAAGCCATAGCGCCACTTCCAGTTTTCTGGTGACTAATTGGAGACAAAAGTCTCATGGACTTTCCTGTCTGGGCTGGTTTTGAACTGTAATTCTCAGATCTCAGCCTCCTGAGTAGCTAGGATTACAGGTGTAAGCCACCAGCACCCGGCCCATTCCCAATGTTCTAATATATATGCTTTATTTAGTGAGTATCAGTTTTCCCTAAAATGTCTGAAAAACAATTTCCATGATTTATAAAGTAAAAAAAAAAGGGTATAATGTTTAGGCAGTAAAATAAAGATATGACAGGTGAATGAAGTACCTCGGATTCTGCACTGGCCAGCTGCTGCTCTCGTTTCTCTAATTCAATTAGGGTTTTTTGAAGTTTTCCCTCTAGAATGCTATATTCAGCCACCTAAAACATAGAAAAAAGTTATTTACTTCTCTTATTCAAAATACAGAAAATCTGAAACACCTATTATTTTATTGAAATAGGACCTAAGAATTGAAAGAGTCAAAGTACATGCCTCAATTCAAAATATTCATTCAAAATGAAAACCATGGTGCATTTGTTTGACTGTCTTTAAAAAATGTCTCAAAAAGATGCTTGTAGTCAGGAGTGCTTAGTCAAGCCAAGCTCCTAAATCTTCCAGTATTGTTCTTAATCGCACTCTCATTTTTTAACTAATCCAGTTACTACGTTGGACAGCCAGCTGCAAATCAATTCTCTACTGCTTCAGAACTTATCTTTTACTACATTCCAGGAACAGAGTTCCTGCTTGATCTTGTAGACATGAAGAAACTGAGGTACAAAGAAGTCTGCTTTTAAGGATCAAAGTCCAATTCAGTGTAAGAAATCTACATACACAGCCTTGTAGGGCTCTCCTCTTGCACGTGCACGCACGCATGTGCGTGCGTGCATGTGTGTGTGTGTTTTAATTTAGAACTTTCTAAATTGTTTGCTTTTGTCACTATCTAGTCTGAGGGCACATCCCTCAGATCCCTTTGCTAACTACCAATAAATGGCTGGTATGCTGCTTCTCAGAGGGCTACTGTCCATTTAACCCTATTTCTACACATGGACAGAGAAAATGTATCTTCCTGTATTCAAACAGCCAAACATCTTCTTAGTCTTTTTTCTTCTCCAAAATAAAACACATATTTCCATCACTGGTCACATGATTATTCCCACATTCTTTAAAATGGAGAATCTAGGTCATTTTTATTAAGTCCTCTAAAATGATGTTCTGTTAATTGTACCATTTACTTTTTTGGTATATCTAAAAACATGCTAAGCATGCTTTCCATCCTTAACCAAATCATTATCACAACTATTCAAATATTTGGGTTCTCACCAGAGTTCTGCTTCTGGAGGCCTCTTAGGTGGTGATCTCATCTTCCTACCATCACATATACTAAGAACTCAAATTTGTATTACAAAGTCAAATCTCCTCTAGAGTTTCAGGCCTGAAAACCTAAACAATATTTGCTGTACATTGTTATTTTTCATGTCACAAACTAAAAAAATTAAAAACTTGCGTTCACTAAGCAAAACAAGGTTGTATTCTTGATAAAGGTAAAATATAAATGATCAAATGCTGTTTGTTTATTTTGGGAGCACTGGGGTTTGAACTCAAGGCCTTGTGCTTGCTAGGCAAGCACTCTTTTATCACTTGAGCCACTCCCTCCAGCCTTTTCATTTTTGGATAGGGTCTTGCTTTCTCCCCTGGTGGTTTGGACTACACTTCTCCCATAGCAGAAGCACATTACCTACCTAACTTTTTAAGCTAACTTTTGGTTAAGACGGGTATCTCATGATCTTTTTGCCTGTGCTGGCCTCAAAACATGATTCTCAGCTTCCCAAGTAGCTAGGATTACAAGGGTGATCTACTATGCCAAGCCACAAGTGCGTATTTAATACCAGTCAATGCTACGAAGAATGAGAACAGAGTGCCAGAGGACAAAAGGGGGGCATTAATTTGGATGTGGTAGTCAGAGAAGGCCTCAGAAGTTATTCTAAGCAGAAACCAAACTATAGCTCCAGAAGAAAGTGTTTCAGATCTTTAGGAGGTAGCTCAGCATGTCTGAGGCACAACCAGAGTGGTTGGCACAGACTGACAGGAGAAAATGGACAGAGACCATGCAAGGACTTGAACATACTACTAAGAATTTCCCATTTTATTCGAAGTATAAGGTGCAGTATGATGAGTTCTGAACAGAGGAATACATTATTCTGTCTTATATTTTAAAAGCTCCACTTTTGGACCAATATGTATATAACAAGGTACAGGGGCTAGGAAATGGGTATAACATGAAAGAGAATTAAGGGTGAATTAGTTTGTACATTGAGTAAATAAATGAATAAAAGACAATATTATTTAAGATAGAATAAAATCAAAAGGAACAAATTTCTAGAGAATAGAAGTAAAATAGCCAAGTATAGAATTCAGGACAGAAGCTAAATTTGGAAATGGAAAGAGGTGTTTATCAGAGGTGAGTGATTTGATTTACATAATGCTGAGATCACCAAAGGAGTTAGTCTATATAGAGAAAAAGAATACAGTCAAGGACTGGTTCCAGGAATAAGCCAAAATAGGTAGAGGCTGGATCTATGAGAACACAGGAAAGCCAAGTCAAGCAAGCTTTTAAAAAGCTCACACTGGTGAAGGGGAAGGAGGACAGTTTGTGAAGAGACAACCTGTGTGGATTCACTGTTCTTGAGGGTCAGACAATGAACAGACCGGGGACACGCGGACCCCTCCAGGTATAAGGATGCAAACGTCCTTTCATCCTCTTCAATACCCACCCCGCCCTTCTCTGTAATCCTATATTCACGTACAGCTTCCATTTTCATTTATAAATATTGCTTTCCAAGTCTCCCTGACTTTAATATTCACTTTCCTCTACTTTTCTATCTACTCTTCTATCAGAATGCCTAAAATAATTATTTATTTATCTAAATAAAAATATCCTTTTAAAACAGTGTTTCTCCAAAGAATTCCCACTCATCTGGTAGAACCACTACTAAATATCCCCATGTTGCTGATCACAGGTATGGTGTATATGTGTACACCGTTATATGTTATAGACTGTGATAGACAATTTGCTCCAGGAAAGTTAGAATGAACTTATGACTTTAAATGAGCATCATTATTCCACAATACTGTGAAATTTGAGAAATTATGTAATCACTTAATCACAATTAAAAAAAAAAAAGAACCTCAGGGAAGGTAGGGAGGGAAGGGATGGTAACAATGCTCAATAGGAAGTGTACTCATTACCTTGCTCATGTAACTGTAACCCTCTGTATAGTATCTTTACAATACAAAATTTAAAAAAAAAAAACAACAGTGTTTCTCAAATCTCCATCTTTCTCAACTAGGATTCATCATCTGCACCACAGAGCACAGAAAATTAACTATCTTTCTTTCTGGAGATGGTATATAATTCTACCAATCTAGATGCACGAGAGAAAGTTAATTCTTTACCAACAATGGGCATGTTAGGTCACAAGGACTTCATTCTCTCCTGAATACTGGCTAGAAAAGCCTTCATATAATCTAGTCTAACTTTAATTTTTTATTTTCATTTTTTAAATATATTTTATTGTAAAGGTCATATACAGAGGGGTTATAGTTACATAGGTCAGTACATTTCATTTTGAACAGTGTCATCTCTTCCCTCATTTTCTCCCAGTTTTGTCCCCTCCCTGTCCCACCTTATATTTTGAACACACTTTGTCCTCCCATCTAACATCAAAATATGCACAATTTCTTAATGCAATAGTCCTATACTGAAATAAAACTTTGTTTGCTTGTGTGGAAAGCCTATCAAAAGCACTGGAGGTAACTTCTAAATTTCAGCAACGAGGTACTTGTATTTTCTACGAAAGCCTCCCCATAATCTCTTATGTAGGACTCATGTCCTCCTTTGGGCAGGGGCTGAGAGTGCTCATAGATGAGACCACTATAGGCAGTACCATGTAAAACAGAGATCAGGTATACCCATACTCCTTCAGGCACACTTTCCAAGTATTAAAGAAATTACACATAGACCCAACAACCTTCAGAAACAACTCAAACATTATGGACATAAAATTCTATAGTTGATTCGCAGAGAATTTTACTTTAAACATCTCATATTGAAGAACTATTTGTTTCTCCCTATTGACTTGATTTTACAGTGGTTTCTAAGATTAAGACCAATTATGGATGTTAACACATCCTAGCTGATAATGTTCTTTCAAAATAGGGCACTTTAAGACAAATGAAGTATTTAGTCCCAAAATGCACTTTGGTTGAAAGAAAATGGTAAATTCAAGTCTACTTTTCCAATATGACTAATTCAAATAAATAGTTCAAATACTTATTAGGCATCCACCACCATCTTTATTCTGATTAGAGTTCCTAGTAGCTCAGAGTTCATGAATTCAAGCTGGGATGGAGGAAATAATTGTATAGATGGAATAAATTCCCAACAGAAAAAAGAAATCACTATTACCATTTTAGGTAACAAACCAAAACTTTCAACTTGTTTTTTTTTTTTTTGCCTGACTCTATTGAAAATAACTATTTCTTGTAAAACTATGTTCAGTTATGTCATAAGTTGAAATTGTCACTATATGTCAAATTTTATTAACTTTCCAAATTTGATCATTATTTGAATTTTGCAAACCTGAATACTAAAAGGACTCTATCATGGAACAAATGATTCAAGGATAAGCTTACTTATCTTCAGAACATTATCATATTGCCCAGAGCTCTAGAATTCCATTAATATGCAATACATGAGTTCTGTACTTATTACTTAGTATAAAACTCAAATACTTTTTGTTTGGGCTAGCCTCCCCCTCTCTTCCTCCAGAATAAATCCTCAGATGATCATTTTAAAAGATACATCTAGGTAGGAAGTGGTACTGTGGCTCAAGTGGTAGAGTGCTCACTGTGAACTGAAGAGCTCAGGGACAGTGCCCAAGCCCAGAGTTCAAGCCCCACGACCGACAAAAAAACCAACCAAACAAAAACAAAAAGATACGTCTAAAACTGGGTCACAGACTCATTGCTGCTGCCCTGGCCTGGTATAGACCACTGGGCAGCCCCTGCAGAAAGCATTCTGTCCACACATTCAGAGGTGGATCCAATTGGGCCAGCATACTCTTACTTAACTCCGGTGGAGCAGAAGCACACCTGTGGTTCAGCTGGTCAGCGAGAGTACAATCGTGCTGCTGTATGAAGAGTGACCACCCCCTGGCAGAAGGTCAGGAGCACCTTTTAGAGGTAGGATAGGCCAACAATGGCTCTTTACTTGCTTTTGAGTTCTTTTGCAAAAAAAAGAAAGGCTTTGGGCTGGGAAGGTGGCTCAGTGGTAGAGTGCTTGCCTTGCATGCATGAGGCCCTGGGTTCGATTCCTCAGCACCACATAAGCAGAAAAAGCCGGAAGTGGTGCTGTAGCTCAAGTGGTCAAGCGCTAGCCTTGAGCTGAAGAGCTGAAGGACAGCACCCAGGCCCAGAGTTCAGGCCCATGACTGACCAAAAAAAAAAAAAATATTTTTTACTTTCCCCAGTTTTTCTTTTGGGTCCAGTCGTGGGGGCTTGTACTCTGGGCTTGGGAACTGTCCCTCAGCTCTTCAGCTCAAGGCTAGCACTCTACCACTTGAGCCACAGCGCCACTTCCGGCTTTTTTCTTTTTGCTTATGTGGTGCTGAGGAGTCAAACTCAGGGCCTCAGGTATGCAAGGCAAGTGCTCTACCACTGAGCCACCTTCCCAGCCCAAAGAGGCAATATCTTTTGTTTTTAAAGTCCTATGTAAGACATCTGCCACTTCAAAACGTAGAAAGATAAAATCACAGTGGTATCTGACTTATCCATCTACCTCACCTATGTCAATACAACCCATTATGCAGACTATTCTTTCCAAAGGTTTTCTTTAAAGCAGATGCAAGGTATTATCATTAGAATTCTTCCCCTCCTCCCTCAAGTTTCCACAAGTTATCACCTTTTTCTTCACTAACGATTCTCTTTCCCGGTCTCTTTTTTTCCACTCCTCAGCAAGAGCTTGCATATGAGCCAATTCTTTCTGCTTCAACTACCAAGGGTAAAAAACAGAGTTGTTAAAAGAAACTCCAAATATTTCAAATCAACAATGAACCTAGTATTTTTACAGGAATTTTATTTTTTTTTGGTAAAAATAGAAATTGCTTGCAGGAAACAACATCCACATAAGCAGAAGAAAATTAAGCGGTTCTGTTTTCTAATCCTCTCCTTTAGTGACTATTAATCCAAGTTCCAAATGAGTAGACCACGTAAGAATCTGAGCCAAAAGAATAATATACTATTAATTTTGACAAAATTTAGTGAAAGTCTTATGCCAAATTGTCCCATTTTAAATGTTTATTCTGTTTTTCTTTAACAGAAGACATTGTTGACATCTAAGCAAAACAGGTAAGAATATAGAAAGAAAACCTACTAACAGAAAAGGAAAAATATACCAAGTACACAAGAATAGATTTTTTTAAAGTAACCTGATTTTCAAAAATGTCTTCTTGCATCTCCTTCCACATCTCCAGCTCCAGGGCTGCTTTGTATTCCAAAGTTTCGCGAGGCTCCAGCTGAACCTCTGAGGGACAAGGTGCTGGAGGAAGTGAAGGTGTCTTCTGCTGTACAGTAGATAAACCCTAACAAAGATGACAAAGCACAGTTTTAATCACACTCTCACATTAAGTCCGTCTTAAGGCATTTGATAAGACTCCATTATATTTACCTGAGATGAAGACTCAGAGACAAAAATCTCACGCATTTTTACTAGTCCATAATCTTCTAGAATCACTGTGTAAGAAAGGTCTACTATCCTGTTATTTGCCCTACAAGGGAAATAAAAAGTATCTTAAAAGCCACAGAAACACTTTTATGTTATTCTCCCTTTTACTTCTCCAGTCAGTACTCTAATACTCAGGAGTAAGCAACATAAGTTATACCTGACACCTCTGCTGCTGAAACTCCAACAGTCTTTAGACTTCAAGATCTCCCAAACACATGTTCCTTTGTTTTTCTCCTAAAGTGGTAGTAGTATTTGAACTCAGATAGGCACTCTAAGGCTTGAACCATGCCTCCAGCTGTTTGTTGTGAACAGAATATAGAGTCTCACTTTTTAGGGGGCAATCATAGACTATAGTCCTATCTTATGCTTCCTACAGTAGCTTAGATGACAAGCATGTGCCACCACACCTAACTTTTTCTGTTAGCTGAAGAATTGCAAATTTTCTGTGTGGGGTTAGCCTCTAACTGAAATCTTCTCAATCTTAGCCTCCCATATAGTTGGGATGAGATGGGGTATGGTAAACTTTGTACTCAGTCTATCCTCAAACCACGTTTTCCTGATATCAGCCTCTTGAATAGCTAACGTTTGAACCATAGTGCCCAGCCAAATACATTATCACAAACACCTTTAGTCGTTCTGAATTTATGTGTCTACTTTTACCAAAAGAAGCAAATGTAAGCACTGTCTAGGATAATGCCTACAAGTAAGGTAACTACATAATCATCCAAAATGGGTGCTTCTTTGTACCATCAGAAGTGTATTTATCATTAAATAATAAAAACAAAAAAATTAAAAGAAAATCAGATCATCTAAATCAAATATGTTCTCGTTAAACAAAACTTTAACCCATGGATCCATATAATCAGAACGCTTAATTAACTAATTCTACATGTTCTCCTGATCTCATAAATGTTATAAGAAATGATGAAAGTAAATGAAGCACTACTATATTGGATAGAAATTCCTGATCAGGTCTGAAGTTCTTTCTTAGAAAGAATGGATCACCACATCTGTAATCCTAGATATTGGATAGAAATTCCTGATCAGGTCTGACGTTCTTTCTTAGAAAGAATGGATCACCACATCTGTAATCCTAGCCACTCAGGAGGCTGAGATCAGAGAAACAGTTCAATGCCAGCCCAGGCAGAAAAGTCCATGATACTCTTATCTCTAATAACCTACTCAGAAAAAGCCAAAAGTGGCACTGTGGCTGAAGTGCTAGCCTTGAGCACAAAGAGGCATAAGGACAACGCACAGGCCCAGAGTTCAAGCCCTAGGACCACTGAAAAAAAAAGAGAGAGAAAGACTTCCAACTTCTTTTTCTACAAAGCAAGATAATAAACTAATAATCCTAACAGACAGCACTAAAATATTAGCTTCTATGCTAAATATTGGATTCTCTTCTACTTATGTTGTCAGAAAAGAAAAATAACTGTTAAGAGATTTTTCAGTAAAAGAATCAAAGGAAACCCCTATTTAACCAACATCTGGTTCTCCAGGAAACAAAGTAAATAAAGGCTTTACTAAATCTTCAAGTCTCTGCACATGGCTTTGGATAGGGAAAAAAATAGGTTAAGATGTTTCAATAAAAATTTTTAGATCTCAGAATTTTGCTAAGCCCAATTTCTTCCTGTATTCTCATTATGTTTTAAAAAACAAAGATAAATGGAATGGAGTATTAAACTGAATTTAAACTGCTATTGTTAATTTAAGAAAAACAGTTTAACATGTTGCTTAAAATATGAAAAGTCAAGGTTTTCACTGTGGCAATAAAATTAGGTGGGAAAACAAAAACAAATTTATTTTGTGGTCCCAGGGGTTAAACTTGGAGCTCTGTAAATGCTACACAAGTGCTTTACATCCCTAGCCCTTAAAAACTTATTTTAAAAACTACTTCTGAATCCTGACACCCTACCTGAAAAATGGAAAAAGCATAAAAGAGCTGAGGGAGTGACGAGAATGGCAGAGGACCTGTCTAGCAAGTAGAAAGCTGAGTTCAATTCTCCACTATCATCAAATCCAAAATAATACTGTTATCAGGCTAAAGAGAAGGCAGGAATTCTTAATAAGAAGTACAGTATTATAGCAGTATGTTTTTTTTTATTGTGAAAATACTGTACAGAGGGGTTACAATTACATGGGCAAGATAATGAGTACATTTCTTATCAAGCATTGTAGCCTCCTTTGTTTCCCCTTCCCATTCCTTCCCATCCATCCTCCCCTCCCCCCCACCAAAGTTGTAAAGTTCATTTTCGACATAAAGACTTATACATCTCATTGTTGCAATGGGTCCACCTGTATCCCTATTTAAACAATTTGTTTTTTCCCTTCCCCTCCATCAAATACAGTGAAAGCAGGGGTTATACTGTAGGGAAGGGACATACAAAGCAAATAAGATTTTTTTTTTTTTACTTCAGAATGCAAGCGATAAAATTAAAAGACAAACAAACAAACCTAATCAGCCAAAACAGGACATGAAACAGTAAGGCTGGGGTTTGTTAATCAGAATGCTTATAAAAGTAAAAAATGGTGCAGAAGATACATTACCCCTGTGCTGCTATAACAGGCACACTCTCACTGTATGTTTGGCGCCAGCACTGTTCACCATTTGAGCCTAAAAATCGAGTTTTTTCTGAAGACAAGATGTTAGAAAGCTGGATTCTTGCAACACCCAGGAGTAAGTCTTTACTCATTTTATCCTTGTGCCACAATTCAACGATCAGGGGAATCCTAAGGAAAAGAAAAACATGAGTTCTCATCTGCCAGTCCTCCGCTAGAGCCTTTTCTCAACTAAAATCTTGGCATACCCTAAAGCAGGAAATTATTGTCAGACTTACTGTTAACTTATTGCTAACTTATTGTTAGACTTGCTGTTTTTACCTAAAAAATAATCTAACAAAACTGTTAAAGGCTCAATTTCACAGGTAACCAGCATGAAAAACTAATTTGTTTCTATATTGCTTTTAGGCAATATATAAATTGTTGTAATTTCCACAATGGTTATAAAATTTGTGACTCCTACATTTTTCCTTTAGGACTGTATTAATTTGGATTATTATATTCTATGAAAGTAAAAAATGTTGGGCTAGGAAGGTGGCTCAGTGGTAGAGCACTTGCCTTGCATGCCTGAGACCCTGGGTTCGATTCCTCAGCACCACATAAGCAAAAAGAAAAAAGCCAGAAGTGGTGCTGTGGCTCAAGTGGTAGAGCGCTAGCCTTGAGCTGAAGAGCTGAGGGACAGTTCCCAAGCCCAGAGTACAAGCCCCCACGACTGGACCCAAAAGAAAAACTGGGGAAAGTAAAAAATATTTTTTTTTTTTTTGGTCAGTCATGGGCCTGAACTCTGGGCCTGGGTGCTGTCCTTCAGCTCTTCAGCTCAAGGCTAGCGCTTGACCACTTGAGCTACAGCACCACTTCCGGCTTTTTCTGCTTATGTGGTGCTCAGGAATTGAACCCAGGGCTTCATGCATGCAAGGCAAGCACTCTACCACTGAGCCACCTTCCCAGCCCCGTAAAAAATGTTTTGTAGGTCTCATTTTCCTTTGAACATCTATTTCAAATGGCTAGATTTTTATATGTGAAAAACAGTAGAAAAATTTGGGCACTGATGGCTCACACCTATAATCTTAGCTATTCAGGAGACTGAGATTTGAGGATAGTGGTTCAAAGCCAGCTGGGGCAGAAAAGTCCATGAAACTCTTTTATCTCCAATAAACTACTCAGAAAAAGCCAGAAGTGGCACTGTGGCTGAAGTGGTAGAGCAGTAGCCTTTAGCACAAAAGAACACAGGGACAGCACCCAGGCCCTGAGTTTAAGCCCCAGGACCAGCAAAAAAGAAAAAGAAATAACATACTACAGTTAATTTCGTGACTCAAGCAAAGCTAAATAGTTTTATTTATCTCCTTATGTAAAGAAAACACCACTATACTTAAAGCTTCCTCATTAATCACAGATTTTTTTTTTTAACAAACTTTAAGTATCTAAACTCAGGCAAACAGATTTTATAACAAACCTGTAAGTGTGTGGTAAAAGTGAAAATATCAGTTACAGTACCAGTAAATTTGTTTGATTCTCAAATTCATACAGTGCTATGGATTTAAGTCTAGATACCAAATTTTCAAGTACTGACCTGGGAAAACAAAACAAAAAAATCCACATAACATACACATTACCGTAAGAAGGTGTCCTGCAGCTGATGAGGCACAGTTGCAAAATCAAATGCACAGTAAGACTGGGGGAGAAAAACTTCCATGTTCTTCCGAACTTCCACAGGGGGGTTAGTCATGATAGGAGCTGCACTTCCAAAGAATGGATAGGAGTACCTAGAATGCAAGAAATAGAAAGTGTTACTGTACCATCTATACAGCAGTCTTCACGTCTGGATTTTAAAACTATACGATTTAAAAACTATAACCAATTTTTAAATGAAAAATAATAGGAACGCTGAGCTGTAATTTAAGAGTTGCTTGTCAGTGCACATCCTTTTTCATCTTTGCATTCCCACAAATAAGCAAGCAGCTTCTGCCATGTATTATGTGCTCATTAAATGCTGGGCCAGGCGGGTGCCTCGCAAATGTAATTGGGAGGATCACGTTTTGAGGCTAGCCCAGGCAACAATTATATTTCACTAAGCCAGGCATGGCAGTACACACGTTATCCACGTACAGCTCTAAGTAGGCCAGGGTCCCAGTCCAATACTCTACTTGAAAAATAACTAATGGGAAGAAGGGCTGGGGATATGGCTCAGGGGCAGAGCATCTGCCTTTTCTGCATAAGGCCCTGGGTTAAACTCCAGGATGACCAAGAAAACTGAACAGCAGGGAGGGTAGCTGGCTTGCTAAATCTAATTTCTTTTTTTTAGCTGTATTTTTTGTCTTTTCTTTTTTTGGTACTGGGGATTGAACCCAGGACATTGCACTTGCTAGGCAAGCACTTGGCCACTGAGCTGCATCCCAGCCTGCTAAACTGATCTCTAAACCTACTTTCCTTTAGACAATAAGGTCCTGATATTTATTAGTCAGTATAAAAGAATTCATAATGATTTGTCTCTGAACAGAGAATCAGGATAAAAGTAATTCAAATGTATACTAGATGAATCAGAGTAACATCACAACTATTTCTTTTTTCGTTTCTTAAAACCATAGTAAACTAAATGAAGAATGCCTGACTACTGCTAAACTAACTCTGTATTTAAAGCCAAATATAGCTGGGTGTGGTGGTACATGCCTATAATTCCAATTACTTGGGAGGTGGAAGAAAGACAATTATGGTTTGAGACTAGCCTGGGCAACATTAGTGCTAGATCATATCTGAGGAAAACAAAGAAACAAACAAGAAAGAGAAAGAGGGAGATGGGGGAGAGGGAGATGGGGTGGGGGGAGAGAGAGGGAGGGAATGGGAGAGGGCAGGAGTGAGAGGTGGGGGAGAGGGAAAGGGGAGAGGGGAGGGAAAGGAGATAGGGGAAGGGAGGGAGGGAGAAGGGGAAAGAGAGGGAGAGGGGGAGGGAAGAAAGGAAGGAAGAGGAGAAGAGAGGGAGGCAAGCAAGCAAAAGAAAAAAAATGGATTTGGAGGTATGAATCAACTAGTAAAGTGTTTGAGTTCAATTCTCAGTAGTGATAATAAAACCAAATTAAAATATTACAATGCTTGCTTAAATCCCATACCATATCATATATCCATATATAAAATACCAATTAAATTCTAGTAAAAATTGTTTCCAACAAAAAGAATTCCTATGTGTTCACCTATATTATTTACCCAATTCTACTGACATCAACCTATGTCAGAGGGAGTTCATGTACTAGAATTTCAATTCCTATTTACTATAGGACAGGAAAGTAGTTCTATGTAGTGTTCAGTGGGCAGTAACTACATATTTTTTTTTGGGGGGGGGGTCCGGTCGTGGGGCCTGAACTCTGGGCCTGGGCGCTGTCCTTCAGCTCTTCAGCTCAAGGCTAGCGCTCTACCACTTGAGCCACAGCGCCGCTTCCGGCTTTTTTCTTTTTGCTTATGTGGTGCTGAGGAATCGAACCCAGGGCCTTGAGCATGCAAGGCAAGCAAGCGCTCTACCACTGAGCCACCTTCCCAGCCCCATATTATTTTCTAACAATACAATTTCCTTTTCTTTACCAAGTGAACTACAGTTCTCATAATTTGACTTGTTTATGAATCTGTCACCCTCAAAAGTTGAGTTGTGCATGTGGCTCATGGACTGTAACAGGGCATCACACAGACATTCAGTGATTAAACAAGTGGTCCTGATAGCAAGCAGCAAACACGGGTAAGTGTGAATGTTTTCTTTACAGGCTTGGTTAAGACTTCCTCTCCTGTATCTAATCCAACATCTTCTCCAGATTTATTACAGTCAAATTCTCCAGCAACAGCGGCAGCACAGAGATCTTAGCTAAGAGTAAAGGGGAGAAAAGGCAAAAACAAACCTCCCAAAAGTGGACATTAAGTAGTAATTCTATTTTTTTTTTTGGGGTGGGGGAAGGATCCGGTTGTGAGGCCTGAACTCTAGGCCATGTGCTGTCCCTCAGCTCTTCAGCTCAAGGCTAGCACTCTACCACTTGAGCCACAGCGCCACTTCTGGCTTTTTTTTTTCTGCTTATATGGTGCTGAGGAATCGAACCCAGGGCCTCAGGCATGCAAGGCAAGTGCTCTACCACTGAGCCACCTTCCCAGCCCCGTAATTCTATTTTTGAAATAAAGAAAATATTTTGGGAAAAGCTATGTCCATGAGAGAAAATCTATTTTCCATCTTGAATTTCCAGATTAAAAAAACAACAGCAAAGATTTTTAGCATTTAACCTGTCAAATGCAAAACTGAGTCTAAGCTGGGAAAATACAGTTTTTCAATTCTACAAACATAATCATGCTCAGTGTGAGCTCCATTATTTATAACGAAGTATTGGGGGAACTGGAAATGACTCTAGAAAACATTAGATGGTGGGAAAATCAGGTGCAAGACTTGAATGCAGGTATGCATCAAGGAAAGGCAGGAACAGTGTGTAGCTGCTTAGACTCCATGTCAACATTCTGAGATGACGAAAACATTTTCTCTCCTTTTGTTTTGCTAGTATTGGCCTAAAAGACATGGCTTAGGCACAGTCTCTGAGCTTTTTCAGCTCAAGTCTAACACTCTACAACTTAAGCCACAGCTCTACTTCTGGCCTTGTGGTGGTTAATTGGAAATAAGAGTCTCATGGATTTTCCTGCCCAAACTGGCTTTGAACTGCAATCCTCAGATCTCAGTCTCCTGAGTAACTGGGCTTATAGGTGTGAGCTAATGACACTGAGCCTTCCTCACTTTCATCATGGAAAACAAGCACTTTATGTCACATGCTATTCCATGAGTCAAAGAAATTTATGAGAAAGAGAAGCTGAAGACTACAAACACATTCTTGTGTTACATTTAATTTACATCTCAGTTAAAAACTATGAAAATTTAACATTATTAACACAGGCTATTGATAAAGGTATTTATGTATCAAATGTGGACATTCTATGTAAGCTCATTAAGATGGTTTTGATTTGCAACTCTAATATGTACATATAAGGAAAATAAGCCTCCCACTGTAATTATTTTATGGAAAAATTGATACTTTGACTTGTAGCATTTCCTTCCAGAAAACTACAACAAAAACCCTCTGAAGTTCAAGAGCACTACATTTTAAATGTCAACATCAATAAATGATTACAAATATGTACAACTATAATATTAGAATAGATAAGACTGGTACCTTTCATACCACCAATGCCACTTTAAGTTCAAAGTCACTAGAATATTGCCTTACTTCCTGTTCATGCCACAGGTTAAACGAAAGTTTTTATTCTTTGGTGACATTTCTCCGCAGTTTCCCAAGGCAGAAGAAAGACATTTCTCCTCACATAAAATCAAATCACACCTTAATATACAGTTGACAGGATAGCCAATTTCCAAGCCATGAATACTCCTCAAGTCTATGGAAAAGCAAAAATGATGTGATGTTGCTGGGACAGCAATCTTCTGTCGTGAAGCTGTTTCTGACACATTGGATGGAGCCACTGGCTGGGCCACTGAAGCAGGTAGAGAAGAGCTAATACCTAAAATGAACACAAAAATTTAAAAACCACCACCAATAAGCAGACAAAAGAAATTCAGATGATTTAAAGCTATCTAATTTATCTTCAAGCAAGGAGGAATTTGACTATTTTTATGAACTTATAACTACAGACATGAACATCTTTAAAATGTCCTACCCCAAACTAAATTTTAATTTTAGAATAATATAAAGATCTGAAAGGTGTATGCCTGTGCAAGCTTATAATCCCAAAACTCAAGAGGCTTAGCCAGGAAGAGTGCAGGTTTGAACCTAGTTTAGCTACATAGGGCCATACTAGAGATATAATAACATCACTCTTTAAGCAAGTTGCAATTATTTCCAGAACAAATAAAATAGTTCTGAAAGAGTTAGAACTTAATTGGATTGTGATGCTTAATAAGAACAGCTACTCAAATAAACCTTGTACCCCAAACTTCTAATTCCTAACCCAGCATTACTTTCTATACTAGTAGTTACCATGGTAGACTTTTATCAATGGATAGAAAAACTTTATAAAACCAGACATAAACATTCGATAAAGCAGTTACTAGCTCTTTTCTCTAAATTTCCAGATAACTTATTTTTTTAAGTTACTAGTTAAAAACCTTCTTGAGGTGGGGCTAGCGGCTCATAGCCAACAAGATGGCAGTCAAAAGCAAGGCCAGCATAGGTAAAAAGTTAATGAGAACCCCCCCCCCCAAACCAAACAACAGCTGAATGTAGTGGCACACATCTGTCATCCTAGCAACATAGACCCTATTCCAAAAATAAAGCAAAAAGGGCTGGGGGGCCTGGCTCAGGTTAATTCTCCAGCACCATTTAAAAAAATAAATCTATTTGAAAGAATTACATTTCTCAAACTGAAATGTCTTATATCATCACATATTTTCAGTTCATAAAATACGCAACATTTTTACTTAAAACCCAAGGAAGCTCATAGCCATTTATTAGATGATCACAAAATCTAACATATAAGAGACGTGTGAAAAGAACACTTTACCCTTGGGACTTGGTTTTCGTTCCTTATCGTACTGTAGGCTTTCCACCTCACTCTCCGTCGCTTCATCTTTGGTTGGAGGTGTCTGGTCGTGAGCTGGAGCAGGGGACACACTTGGTGACTTTGGTCCAGCAAGTGTCCTCTCCTTTACGGGGGTTAAAACTCTCTTGCTTGAATGCTCAGGCTCATGTCCATTCTGGGTCTTTAATTCAATTAAAGACTAAAAACAATTTTTAAATAATGTATAATTTGTGAAATATTTTCCTTCATAATTAAGCAAAAACTTGATGTTGTGTTTTTTTTTTTAAACCACAAGCTTCCTTTCCCAGTTTGGATATTCCTAGTCTACTTTTCTTCATAATTTGCAAATTTTCTTATAGCATCTAGGACCAGAAAAAGGAAGATGAACAGGAAGGACATACATCCAAGAGCAGAGTATCAAAATACATCCTAATGGGTAAGAAGGGACATATGAGAAAAGTCAGGCTTAGGTGACCCTGGGAATAGGTAAGAGCATAGTAGAGGCCTATATCCTACACAGAATAGAACAGACATCTAGTAGGAGGATTTCTTACTTTGCTACACTACCCTATAAACTATATTTGTTTTCCAGCTTTTCTATCTTTAATTTACCACCTACTTATAGACTGATTCTTTACAAGAAGACATTAAACTTGATTTTGCAGAGATACAATGAAAAACAATTCACATTGAAATAAATGCCCATCTCTGCTACAAAATCTGCCTAAGATTATGGAGGCTACAAACTCTAATGAGCCCAAACTTTTATTTTAGCTGGGTTTGTGTCAAAATCAAAAAGATACCACCTCTGCGGAGTCTCTAAAACTAGGTCTCCAAGTGCTGCCTGTTATCAGTTCCTTGCAGGGTGGAGAACCTTTTATTCTGCTAATGGTTATCACTACCAGCCACACCAAATTATCCCATCACAAGACCGGCCACAGGCAGCTGAGGAAAACATTACACACCTGGCCTGCCACATACTAAATGACTCCGTGAGCCTTACACAGACATCCTCACCCCTCCTAAGCGTAAAAAAATTGTAAGTTGGGAAAGGAAGGAAACAAGAAGATGGTCCCAAAGCTAAGTGGGCTATGAGCACAGTCACACACTATACAGCAGGAGCCTCTGCACTTTTCTGAAAGTTTTATTCAGAAAATAGCTTATATAATGTAGGCTACTGGCTAAGAATGAAGACACTGTTATGTCAGGTAACTCCTGAGGTTCTTTGGTAATGAGGTACTGGAGACGCTGGGAAGAGGGAAACAGAGTCATTCCTCACCTGGGACTCGATGCCTTCTCTCTGCAGGGCCACAGACACTCCCACAGTTGGGGCCAGATCCAGAGGAATAGGTGCAAGCTTTTGTTTAGCTCGATTTGGTGGGTCAAGGGTAAAAGCTCCCTCAATTGTGACAGGGCGCTGGTTGATTTCTGTGCTGCCCTTTCTCAGCAATCCACTTAAAGGTATTTCTGTACTGCCCAGAGACTGGTCTCCACAGCAGAGATGGATCTAAAACAAAAGGGAAAAATCAAAATGCAACTTTGTATTTTCTCTTCCTTTTTAAATACTATAAACTTAATATAAGTTATAAAAAATCTGCACAGAGTAATGAAATTCTCATGCATGACTGTTAAAACTGGTGGTAAGACATAGATCAATGGGGACTCAATAACAGTTCTCAGCTCTTTTTCATTTCTTTGCTCTATGAGGTATACACAGATATTATCTTTTTTTGCCTCTTCAGTGAATGAGTCCTTTATTATTTCATTATGCTACTTTGCATATGCAAATTTCATAATTAAAAAAAGAATATGTGAATTTAAATAGAAAAATACCTTAAGTGGTTTTCTGATTTTTTGAATACTAGACCTTTTGCTCACTTAGCTTCTTGCTCACAGCAGACACCTTATGAGTTGAGCCATTCATCCAGCCAGTCTTTTTGCTGGCTCATTGGAGATACAGTCTCCACATGTAGTCTCATAAACTTTTCTGCCAGGGTTGGCTTAGAACCATTAACCTTCAGGTTCCAGCCTCCTGAGTAGCTAGAATTACGGTTGTGGACCACCAGTAACCACCAGCTTCTAGTTCCACCTTGACATTAATTCAAACATAATTCTAAAAATTAAATCAGTGGATCAGCCCAATTTGGATCTTTAAAACCTCAAATAATTTTGCCTTCTTCCTGCATAAAATACCTTGATTGTTTTTAGTTCTTATTCTAGGGCTTTGTATTATAAAATCAAGGGCACAACACCAAAAAGTAAAACAATGCTCCTGGAATGAAAAGTACTGTTAGTCAATGGTGGCTAGGCTAAAGCTCAACATGCTAAAAGCTGCACTAAGGAAAGAAGAAATAGGAACCTGTCATGGGACTATTCTGTTCCCATACTAGGTGGAAGGCTTGGAAAACAGTATACTGAAGAATAATCAGTTTAAACATTTTTCGATTATCAGGCCCAACTTACAACTTTATCTTTTCTTTTTTTTTAATTTTTAAATTTTTTTATCATAAAAATACTGTACAGAGGGTTACAGTTACACGAAAAAGGTCTTTTTTTTTTTTTAACGCAGTACTGGGGTTGAACCTCGTGCCTGAAAGCCATCTGAGACAGTCTCACTTTTTGTCCCAGCCATGCCACTACACAGCAACACACCACCTTGGCTGGGATGACAGGTACACAATACCATGCCCAATTTCTTCCACTAAGATGGAGTCTCCTGGATTCTTGCTCCCTGAGCTGGCTTGGAACTATAATCATCACTATCTCAGCTTCCCACATAACTGAGGTAACAGACATATGCCACTGTTATGTTATTGGTTAACAGTGAGTCTCACTGTGCATATGCTCATGCTGGCCTTGAACTGTGATCCTCCAATCTTAGCCTCTCAAATGGCTAAGATTACAAGTGTAAATCCATTATTCAGTATAACTTTAAAAGTCTTAATTTGGCAGTACCAGAGATTACATTCAGGGCCACATGCTGGTAGACATTTCCCCTTGAGCTATACTTCTAGCCCCTTTTTGCTCTGGTTATTGATGTAGGTTTTCACTTTATGCCCAGGTTGACCTAGAACTACATGATCCTCCCCATTTCTTCCTCCCAAGTGGGAAGCATGTGCTACCATTCTCACTGTGTGAACGTTTTCTACATCAGATGCTATGTAAAAGTAAATCTAATCCAAATCCTAGTAACTCACACCTGTAATCTCATTTACTCAGAAGGCTGAGATCTGAGGATTGTAGCATGAAGCTACCTTAGGCAAGAATCCAATTAACCAGTCAAAGTAGAGATGTGGCTCAAGTGGTAGAGCATCACCCTTGAGTGAAAAACTAAGGAACAGCACCCAGGCCCGGAGGTTCAACTGCAGTAGAGGGGTGTGTGTGCATGCACACTCAGGCACACAAGCACAGATACACAATTACTCTTTTATCTTTTAGGATGGTTACTTTTAATCAAATATCAGTGAGGCAGTAAAAGTGAAGTGGCACAGGATTAGATAACCATTTGCTTAAAGTATGGTCCATTCATCACTGGATTGTATTTGGAGGAAGAAGTGAGAAGCACTAAGACATATTATCAGAAAAGCAACTAGGGCTGGGAAGTTGACTCAGTGGTAGAGTGCTTACTTCACATGCCTGAGGCCCTGGGTTCAATTCCTCAGCACCACATAAGCAGAAAACGCCTGAAGTGGCACTGTGGTAGGGCACTAGCCTTTAGCTGAAGAGCTGAGGGACAGTGCCCAGGCTGTGTTCAGCCCCCATGACAGATAAAAAGAAAGAGAAAGAAAGGGAAAGAAAGAGAAAGGAAGGAAGGAAAGCAGGAAGGAAACTAAGCAAAAATGGATGAGAGGCGTAGCTCAAATAGTAGAGTACCTGCCTAGCAAGTAGGTGGTCTTAAACTCAAATTCTGGCCTGCCAAAACAAACAAAAAAGGTTTAAAAAATACCCAAGAGTAGGTTTTAGAAAGTTGTCATAATCTCTAATTTTAACAACAAAGTAAATCTGAAATGTAAAGTATGACCTGTGACCACAGCTCTAGGTTCTGTTAAAATTTCCTACTATAGTATACTAAAATAAGTGATATACCTCTTTTCTCAATAACTGGGTGGAGAAGTGTTATCTTCTAAAATTCTGAAGTAACTGTAATTCCAGTAACCAAGCTAATACATAAAAAAAAATTTTTAAACATGGCAGAAAGATCTCCACTACTGAAACAGAATAGAGTTCAAGATCAAATCCAAAACCCATCTTCAATTAAAAAACAAAACAAAAACTTGCCATATTACTTACCTGTAGTTTAGAGTGAAGAGCCAAGTAAACACGAAGCATTTCTACACTGCTGCGAATATGAACAGATGCTCTCTCTGGCTCAAAGTTTGGATTGATCAAATCATTGAAGGGTTCATTTGTGACATCATTTCCCAGTAAAGAATAGTAAAAGAAAAATTCAGGTTGTCTTTCTGGAAGTTTCATGGTACATGGAATTAGCTAAGCATGCAAAGAAAAAGATGAATATTACTCTGTTAATCAATGAACATATGTCTATTGTACTCTAAATTACTTCCCATAATGTTGGTTTTTAAAAGTCTTTAAAAATTAACCACTCTCTACCAAATTAATAGCCTTTACCAACAAAGGCTACACTTTATAAATGGTAAATAGGAGAATCTGAATCCAGGTCATTTAATATAAAATATCCTAGTCTATGTTGGAAGTTAAAAAAGGCCTAGAAAACCTATGAATTAATATCAGAAAAGTAGTCCTCATCTAATCAGAACATAATTTCTCAGAACTGCTAAGACTCACATAAAGTTACAGGAGCTGGGAAGGTGGCTTAGTGGTAGGGTGCTTGCCTTGCATGCCTGAGGCTCTGGGTTCGATTCCTCAGCGCCACATACACAGAAAAAGCTGGAAGTGGGTGCTATGGCTCAAGTGATAGAGTGCTAGCCTTGAGCTGAAGAGCTCAGAACAGTGCCCAGGCCCAGAGTTCAAGCTCCACGACCAGTAAAAAATAATAATAATAATAAAGTTACGGTCTATTTCAGATAGTAAAAAAGCAATAATCACCTAGATATTTAAAGTGCAGTATTGAATACAACAGATAATAAATGTAAGTTATTCCTTTTATCCTATATTTTAAAGTGTATTCATGTTTGACTGGACAGTTTCTACTCACATGGGTTTACATACATTGAGAGAACCACCTATACTCCTAAAAAGTAGAACTCTAAGCTAAGGCAATCCTCAAGCAGAACTTTATGAAGAGAAGAAAAAGATGTACACTGATGGAGACAGACAAAAAAGTAAGGGAAAAGGAAAAACATCCCGAGAACACATACAGTCACATATCCTTCTTATCTAAGATACACTGTACTCATGACATCTCTATGCTACTTAAAAAATAAATCAGAAAAAATATTTTTAGAATTCCTTCTTGTAGTAGGCATGAATTTAGTACGACAAAGTCAAATTTTCCTTTAAAAAAAGTCTTAACCTGATAATCTTGAAGGGAAAGATTAGATACCTTTTAAGTAAAATAAAAATGTCGTCACTAAATGCATATTTCACTTGTGAAATGTCAATGGGGGGTGTATATATGTAAGAAAGCCAAGTCTAACAAAAATTTTAATCATTAGCCAGGAGTTAGTGGCTCACACCTGTAATCCTGATTACTCAGGAGGCTGAGATGTGAGAGAGATGTGAGAGGATTTTGGTTCAAAGTTAGCCCACGCAGAAAAGTCTGTGTAAGTCTCCCATAAAGCCAGAAGCAGAGGTGTGGCTCAAGTGGTAGAAAAAGTAAGGGACAGATCCCAGGCCTTGAGTTGAAGTCCTAGTAAATGTAAACACACACACACACACACACACACACACACACACACACACACACACACCATAAAACCGTCTCTATTGTAAGGGACAGATCCCAGGCCTTGAGTTGAAGTCCTAGTAAATGTAAACACACACACACACCATAAAACCGTCTCTATTCTTAAAAATATGAATTTATTCCAGATGCTATCAACCAATAAAAAGTCAAGAAAAGTGGACTTCTCTTTAAGAAAGACAAAAGAATAACAGCAAATGCTGTCCTGCGCCACAGCTGGGAAGAGGCAGTATACCATGAGCATCCTTGTTGAGTATCAGGAATACAAGGCCTTGACTATTCTTTTACCCAGGCCAATTCCCAGGGCCATTTCTATAGCTGGTAATTTTGAGAAGTTAATATGTCTTCCTGAAAAAAAAAAAACTAAGACTGCTTACTGCTTACAATAAAAATAATGCATGTTCCCACATTATTTTCCTCAGCAGAGATAAAACCACTTATTTGCCTTTCTGTATACCCCACATGGAATTCAAGGTAGAAAGAACTGAAGAAAATACACTAATATTCAGGTTGCTCTCAGTACTGGGAATACTATACTCTTTTGATCCGGAACTAAACTCTCCAATCTTCTACCGTCTTCATGAAAGGAACATGTTAACTTGTTAGCTTACAAGCAAGGTAAAATATAATCCCAGACCCAACAGGCATTAAGTATTTCTGAGAAAAATTGTTCCTGACATTGCTTATCAAAATGTACATGATTCAAGAGGCAAATGGAAAAATTCCCTCCATCAGTTCTGAAAGTTTTGCACAGGACAATGGCAATGTTTATTGATAGTAAATCTCCCCAAATCATAAAATTTATTGTTACAAGATACTGATATCTATATACCTTTTCACAAAGTAAAAATGTTTCTGGTATGAGCACATTTTTATTTCAAATTTTAAACTGTACATATACAAATCTATTTACTATCTAAAGGATAAGGTTTAAGAAATAAGGTGTTTTCTAAGTTTTTCGTGAATCACTAATTTCCTATCACTAGCGTCTTACCTGCTCCAACTGGGTGGCAAAGGCTACGGTCACTGACATAATGAAGGAGTCAGTACAATACTCTGCTGGCCCAATCTGGTGGTAACCTCCCTCCTCATTCAGCACCGCTACAATGTCCTTCGGGTCAAGTCCAGGGAGGCTAGCAAGCACTTCACAGACAAAAACACAATTGCATCAGACTGCGGCTTGCTATAAATTATTGTAAGGTTTTACTTTTTATTTCATTCATTCAATTTTGAGACAATGTCTTCCTTTGTAGCTCAACCTGGCCTGGAATACACAACCTTGTAAGCATTGGTATTTTAGGCAGGCACCATTATAAGATTATAAAAGCTGATTATATTTTTCAATTTCCTTGGCAATTTTCATGCATACAGCTAATATATAAAAAGGTTTTAATTTTTATATGTGCTCTAAATAAACTTCATTTAATTTTGTTTTTCCATACACAAAAAACATAGTCTAGCCAGGCATCTGTGGTTCAGGCCTGTAATCCTAGCTATTTACTAGGCTAATTAATATAAGGAGGACTAGGGTTTGAAGACACTCAACAGAAAACCTGGCTCCATCTCTAAAACAATTTTTTTTTAAAAAGCCAGGTTAAAGGTTAAAGGTGTTACTCACATGGTCGAGGGCCAACTAAGCAGTAAAAATCTATCACTTGAGACCCTGAGTTCAAATTTTACTGCCAAAAATATTCTGATAACATTTTCATAAAATCAATAAACCATATAGAAAAAACATCTAAAATAGCTTTCACAGTGAATCTAAGCTGGGAGGTAGAAAACCTAGATCTGCCTAAGTCCCTGATAAGGAAAAAAATAATACAGATGACATAAGTATCCATACGAAATCTGCATGTAAAAAGCCTTCATTAAAAAAAAACAAGGTGGGGAACAACTTTGTAGTATGTTATATGAAAGCTGTTGACTGATAACAGAAAGGGGGGTAAAGGGAAATACATTCTGTCAGGAAGTAGGTACTGGTGGGAAAGGACTGGATTAACAAGGAGGATGAAGGAGGTCAAATACAATTAAAATAGAGCATTTGCAACTATACAAATAGATCAATAAAAGTTGTTGAAACGTTTTAGAAGGGGGATGAGACAGATTGGCACACAGTGAACACATGTGGAAAGGTAACAATCCCCCCTCCTTAAAGCCAATTTTTAAAAAGTAAACTAGATAATTAGTACATTAGTACAACATTAAAAAAAAACATGCTGTAGCTAATAAATACTTATAGCAAGAATACCATTAACCTAGCACTCAATTTCCCACATGTGAACTGTGGAGAACATACTCAAAGCAATGTAGGATCTTGGTGAGGGGAGGGGTTACACAGAAAAGCTTCAGGGAAGTGCAAGTATTCTGCACACAACCATGGACTTCTAGCGACAATGAAGTATCAATGAAATTTCCCCAGTTGTGATCACTTCCTAGGTTTGGGATGTTGATGATGGATGAGGTTGCTCTATGTGCAACTCTCTGTACTCTCCAATTTCACTCCACACCCTTAATGACAATGATGGCAAAACTAAGCAGCAATTTTCAAAAACACAGAATTCTTTGTTCTAGATTATACCAGATGAGGAAAAGAAAAAAATATCTCTTTGCAAGATTTCAAATGAGTTAAAACAACAAGTGCTGGAGGTGTTACAACATCACAATATTTGTCTGATGTACTTGAAATAGATGTTAAGGGGCTGGGAAGGTGGCTCAGTGGTAGAGCGCTTGCCTTGCATGCATGAGGCCCTGGGTTCAATTCCTCAGCACCACATAAGCAGAAAAAGCCAAATGTGGTGCTGTGGCTCAAGTGGTAGAGTGCTAGTCTTGAGCTGAAGAGCTGAGGGACAGTGCCCAGGCCCAGAGTTCAAGCCTCAGGACCAACAAAAAAAAAAAAAAAAACAAGAAAGAAAGAAAGAAAATAGATGTTAAGTTTGTCCAGTTCCCTGTGTAAGCTCAGCTAACCCTCCCACACGGTTCTCCTTGTGCTATCCCCTCCTAACCTTCTAGTCCATAGATGAACTTCTCAGAGAATGCCTTTAGAGATGGTGCACAAACCTTTTCCATCTCGAGGAGGAGCCCCCTTTGCTTTAAAACTATCCACTGGTGCTTTTGTATCTGTTTCCAAAGTGATACTTATCTGTATCTCAGACTTGAACTTGGTGTATTTATTACTCAGCAACTGGTACCATTTTGGTGCCTAGAGCAAAACAACACAACAGGAACATCTTAATAAATAGGAAAAAAACCTGTTGGAAATGCTCATTAAGGTTCTAAATAAACGACCTATAGTTTGACAGTAATTTTCCTCTCTTAACTATCTTCCCCCTCCCACATTTTATTAGAAAGGAATTACTTCCACGTTGGAAGCCATCAACTGGATTTCCCTTTGGAAAAATAACTTAAGACATTGAGGCTGCCTTCGTTTCTCCCATTCTTATGCTTCAACAGGTAAAATATTAAAGGAAAGAAAAAAGCTATTTCTTTCTATCTTTACAACCTTCTACTTCTTCTTACATGATTTTTTTCTTAAATTTTTACGTTGTTATTATAAAGGTGATACACAGAAGGGTTACAAAATTATGTAAGTCAGGTAAAGAGTACATTGCTTTTTGGATACTTTCACCCCTTCCCTTGCTCTCTCCCAGTTTTTCCCTTCTATCCCCCACCCACAGTTGTATAGTTCATTTTCAACACAATGTCCAGTAAGTAGCACTGCTGCATTTTTGTTTTATTTTTTATCTGTCCTGCAACTTGAATTCTGGGCTTGGGAGCTGTCCCTCAGCTCTTCAGCTCAAGGCTAGCACTCTACCACTTGAGCCACAGTACCACTTCCAGTTTTCTGAGTGGTTTATTGGAGATAAGAGTCTCATGGACTTTCCTGCCTGGGCTGGCTTTGAACCTGGATCCTCAGATCTCAGCCTTCTGAGGTAGCTAGGATTACAGGTGTGAGCCACCGGTGTCGGGCTTGCTGGATTATTTTCACCCTCTGTCCCTGCATTCCTCACATTAGATATAGAAAATGTAATTTTCTATTCCCCTAATGCCTATTGTTTCATGCTTTGTATACCTTTTCTTCCTGCCTCATTTCTGCTTTATAATACTGACATCAATCAAGAAAATCTTACTGCTAATAAAAAAAAACTAAAGAAACTAAAGGCCTGATAATATAGTTCTGAGTTATGAACTATTACTTGATTGATATTAAACAAAAGCCTGTCACTGAATAAAGTTCTATATAGAGTAACCCTCACTCCAGCAACATCAGAAACTCCTATCCAGACTACCTGGAATTCTCATGAACCAGGACAATCTGCCCATGAGTGCATATTATATGTACTAATGTACTATTATTAGAATATGACACAATAATTCTACCAGAGTGAAAGACAAAAGGCTAACATAAATGCAATTTTAAATAGATAACAATGTCACCGATACACACTTAATGTCACATAATGTGCAGCTGGTTCCCTGAAAGCATCTGTAAGGAACAGGAAGCAGGGAAACCAATGAGGAGGTGATTATGAAAGTAAAATAAGAAACTGAAGTAGCATTAGTGAAATGCAGAAGAGTAGACAGATCAAGAAGAATGGAAAACTATGAAAAAAGGGAAGCCAAATATCAGGAAAGATTTCTGTTTCTATCTTACACAACAAGAGAGGGATGACAATTTTCTACAGCAAGGAACACGTTCAAGAATTTAAATAAAAGCTCTGGACTTGAAGATGTTAAAGTTGAGCTCATAGCTACTTAAACATAGGTTGGAGCACAGAGACAAATTTCTTTGAGAAAGAGTTCAAAGGAATAATGAAAAAGGTTGATTTTTCTAAATCAAGTTCATAACCAAAACATCAGAGCTATGCCACTGGCTCAAGTATGCAATTTGTTTCAGGTCCAGTATTTTATTTTCACTAATCCAGTGTCTACTGAAAGGAATCAATGTCTAACATAGAAATATCAAGAGGACAATACCTGTTTTGTTTCTTGAGCAGTTCTTAAGTCCAGAACAATGTAACCTATAATTTCTTTGGCTGAAGATGAAGGATTCAAGGCGAAGCACTGGAGTTTGATTGGAGTACGCTGTAACCTACAAAACAATTTATGTGATAAATAAGATAGTTTTTTCTCAATATTGAACATTCAATATTAAACTAGAAAAAAAAGGCATTATCCAAATAACTAAAATTTAATGATAATTGGGTAAGCTATTTCTATTTTCTATTTTATTTTGAAGAAGACCTCTTCAGTCCAGGCACCAATGGCTCATTCCTATAATCCTCACTACTCTGGAAGCTGAGATCTAAGGATCACAATTTGAAGCCAGCCTGGGCATAAAAGTCCTTGAGACTCTTACTCCAATTAACCACCAAAAAAACAGGAAGTGGAGCCATGGCTCAAGTGGTAGAACACCAGCCTTGAGCTTTAAAAAAGCTCAGACAGTGCCCACACAGAGACACACAAAATGACCTCTTTGACCAGAAAGAACTGTAAAATATAGTTGCCTCTATACTACTACAAAAAAAAAAAAAAAAGTTGAAATTTTAGGCCAGGCACTGGTGCACCGCTCAAGTCTGTAATCCTAGCTAATCAAGAGGCTGAGATCTGAGGATTCAAAGCCAATCTGGGCAGGAAAGTCCATGAGATTATTATCTCCAATTAGTCACCAGAAAACCAGAGTGGAGATGTGGCTCAAAATCGTAGAGCACTAGCCTTGAGTGAAAGAGATCAGGGACAGTGCTTCCCAGACCCCAAGATAAAGACCCATAACCGCCCCGCAAAAAAGTTAAAATTTTAATTTTTTCCTCTAAAGAGTTGTTAAGTAAGAACAGGTTTTCTTAATCTTCCAAGCCTTTTGATAGTCAAAAATTATGAATCCTCAGGACTGATTTTTGATAACCTTTCTTACACCACAACATCAGATATAAAATACAAACTACAATATATGCTATCCTACAAAATAATTTTAAATTAATAATTCAATGTACTTGATTCACAACGTTACTGATTATTATAGCATGAGATCTTTTAGTTTAATAAACTAGAATAGCTCTAGTTTATTACTAGTTCACATTCTAGTTCATTACTAAGCTGAATTAATTCTGTCATTAGGTTTATCTAGTAGAATTACTATTTAACTGCTTTAAGCACAAAATCATCACTTTTAAATTTGTCTGTATTATTTTCTCAGCCAAAGTGGTATCCCTGGGTACTCACAACTGTAAGCCCAACAACAGATGTGGGTTGTGGCACCCCACAGCAGAACCCTATTTCAGCAGGTATTACAGAGCCACAAAAAACTTACAACTTTTTGATACTCTGTAAGAATTCAGCATCCCTTTAAATAAAGCCACAGAAACGAGCCACAGAAACAAGTACATTTTTCCTTAATTTCATTCTCTTAACTTCCTGTTCTGAGTTGATTTAATACTAAGAAAAGGCCAGTACTGGAATGGTTTCCCAGACAGAAATACATTTTCAATCATTTAATACACAAATATCTTGCTGTTCTGGTCACAGAGTTCATGAAAAAATAAGATGCCATAACTTTAAATCCATTTTAGATACTAGACTCTCTAAAGACCAAAGAAGACAGTAATTTGCAAATAGCAGTCACCTGTGCTGATGAAGAACTTTCCTATCAATTTCCCAGGCTAGCTCAGTAGCAAATTCTGGCTGGTCAGTATGGTCCACAGGATCAGTAGCCAACTGCTCTCCATCAAATTTTGCTTCTACTATAAGTGAATGCTTTGGACGTTTGGGAAAATGGCGACCTGAAGAAACAACAGTTTGCAGATTAATTGGAAATATACAAAAACCAAGTAGGCTCATTTAGTAGTGAGTGTGTATGTGTGCGTGTATGTGTATGTGTGTGCATGCATGCCAGTCCTAGGGTTTGAACTCAGGGTTGAGCACTATTCCTGAGCTTTTTTTGATCAAGATTAGCACTCTACCACTTGAGCCCCAGCTCTCCTTCCCGATTTTTGGTGGTTAATTGCATATAAGAGTCTCACAGAGCCAGGTGCCAGTGGCTCGTGCCTATAATCCTAGCTACTCAGGAGGCTGAGATCTGAGGCTCCAGGTTCAAAGCCAGCCCGGGCAGGAAAGTCCATGAGACTCTTATCTCCAATAAACCACCAGAAAACCAGAAATGGTGCTGTGGCTCAAATGGTAGAGCTAGCCCTGAGTTGAAGAGCTGAGGGACAGCACTCTCAGGCACAGAGTTCAAGCCCCCAAAACGACAAAAAAGTCTCACAGACTCAGATTAGTTTCTGTAATCAAATTCACATAGATAAGATCTTACATATTTAATACTATGTGTTTACTCCTATATAAATGGAAAATTAGGTTTAACATTTCTAGACCTATATGGCTATTAATTTCCACACAATGCCAACTCAGTAAACTGGAATACTTTTTCCAAAGTTGATAGCACATCTAATGTTTCCAAAAATTCAAATTACGTATAAATATGCATATATCTATATATACAGGTATGTTTTTTTATTTATATAAAGGGCCAGTAATAGCAGTATGTTATGAATCAGTAGTGGTATCAGCTTTTCTGCCACCATCTGAACAAAATTAAAAACATCCACCATGCTCCATTAATAAAAAGGAAGCCAGGCACCAATAGCTCAGGCCTGTAATCCTAGCTACTCAGGAGGCTGAGATCTGAGGATCACAGTTCAAAGCCAGCCCAGGCAGGAAAGTCCGTGACACTCTTATCTCCTCCAATAAACTACCAGAAAACTGGAAGTGGCACTGTGGCTCAAGTGGTAGAGTGCTTGCCTTGAGTTGAAGAGATGAGGGACAGCACTCAGGACCAGAGTTCAAGCCCCATTACTTACAAAAAAAAGTCTTTTTAGAAAAACCCTGAAAAATGCAAAATTCTGTTACTGGTACCTGGCACATTTTTTTAAAATTAGTTTCTCTATCATCATCTGTAATAAAAAAAAGTAATAAAAAAATCTTTGATAAAGCAGTCACAGTTCATAAACAAAAGTCTGGTGAAGGGATCAGGATGAGAAATTTTAACCACTATTAAGGAGTTCTATTGCTACTCTAGCTGAAGCTACTTGGTCAGAAAAGACTGGACTGCAAATTTGAGTCTCATCCTGAGGCTCTCACTTGAGGGTAAACACTCCACTATGAGTGGTGACACGCACAGCCCAGTTCTTTCATTAGTACCCAAAGGCCTCTCTCAGAACCTCATTTCTGACTAATCTACAAGATCATTAGTTTCTCTTATAAATTTCACACATGAAAGTGAACTTCATAAATGTTAACTTACAGTTTTAGTCAGATAATGATACCAAAGATCACAATTTATCTGAGAACAGAGGAAAGGCAGTAGAACAAGATGCCTGCCTCAACCCAAAGACAAGGAACAGATGAAGACCAAAAGAAGTCTTATCCCTAAGATGATTTCTTTGTTGCATTGTATGTCCCTCCCCTACAGTATAATCCCTGCTTTCACTGTATTTGATGTTGGTATAATTTGTGGAGGGGAAGGGAAAAACCAAATCGTTTAAATAGGGATACAGGTAGACCCATTGCAACAATGAGATGTACAAGTTGTTATGTCGAAAAATGAACTTTACAACTTTGGGGGGGGGGGGGGGAGGGAGATGGGAAGGGATAGGAAGGGGAAACAAAGGAGGAGGCTACAATGCTTGATAAGAAATGTACTCATTATCTTGCCCATGTAATTGTAACTCCTCTGTATGGTATTTTCACAATAAAAAAAAAAGAAGCCTTATCCTTTCCTTGAAATTTGACTCACAGTTTAAATGTTACTTTTCAGTAGAAATTCAATTTCTTTTGAATAAAAGGTATTCCCAGAACTGAAGACAAGAAATTAAAAGCAGTCAATATAAGGGAGAAGCTGGCTGTATAAGAGACTGACAGAGCAGGAAAGAGTTCTACCACAAAGGATAACATTTGCTATTCTAAGGAGCAGTCATTACCTTTTAAGGAACAGAAAAATCTGAAGACTGTAAGATTTAATGTCATAATGGTTATTGCCAGATTGTAGGAAATGTTAGATGCTTCTAGGAGGAAGAAAAAATGTAGGAAATATATTATTGAAGACTACTACTGAAGACTACTACAATAGGTTAGTGGATAACAAATGCCTCTAATCCAGGTATTCACAGTGGAAATTTGTCCATTTGAAAGTTTATATGGCTGAGACAAGAAGAAAAGGTCAAAAGCTATGTACATTTGACCAGATAAGATGATGTGAATTGAAATGAACCCCAAGATAGGGACACAAGTGGTTTTTGCTTTCTTGCTATTGTTTCTAACATAATTTATAATGTACCATGTGATTTTTTTTTTGTTTCTTTGTATGCTCCTCCTCCACTGTATTTGATGTTGGTGCCCTGCATCTTGTATATACACTTTTCTAATTTGGGAGGGGAAGGAAAAAAACAAAATGCTTAAATAGGGATACAGGTTGACCGATTGTAACAATGGGATGCACAAGACACTGTTGAAAAATGAAGTTTACAATTTGGGGGCAGGGGAAGTGTAGTTGTGGAAGTGGGAGGGAAGGGATGGTAGGGGAAAAACAACAATGCTTGATAGGAAATGTACTCATTACCTTGCTCATGTAACTATAACCCTTCTGTACAGTATTTTTACAATAAAAAAGTATAAAAAAAGTTTATATGGAGACCCCTGCTATGATTTAGAAAATGAAATCCACAACACCGGGTAGCCATTTGTAAGATAGGGATGGGAAAGAGTCAAGTTCTTAGGAACTCCAGGTTCTTGGCTTGGGGCAACTGTAAGGTTGTACTGAAAGGGAAAATAAACACAAGAGCAGAACAGTTTGGAGAAAGGACTACATACCAAGGTTAGGTATGTTGTGGCAACAACAAGCTAACTGACATTCCTGACTCTAGCTGCTTCTCCCTGAAGGCTGCTACTAAACTTGTGTAAAGTGCTCTCCTATTTAGGACTATCTACCACCAACCTATTTCTTAGAACGTGAATTCTGAACTATTTGGCTTTCAAGATCCTCACCACACTCCAACTAGACAGGATTTTTTTGCTGTCTTGGAGGATATTCCTAAATATTCACCGCTGGAGGTCCTGCTACCTTCCCCAGTGCTCCACCCAGCATTTCATTCCCACAGACTTGTGGTCCTGATCATCCACTTGCTGGAGGAACAACTTCGTGTGTGTGTGCACACATGCTCACACGCCAATACTGGGGCTTGAATAAGGACAGGTGCTGCCCCTTAGCTTTTCCCCTCAAGGTTGGCACTCTTACCACGTGAGCCATAGCTCTACTTCTGGCTTTTTGGCAGAGTTAAGAAGTCTTGGGACTTTCCTGCTTGGGCTGGCTTTGAACCACCATCCTCAGATCTCAGCCTCCTGAAAGGCTGGAATGATAGGTGTGAGCCATCAATGCCTGGCCCAGGGATGATTTTTTTTTTTCTGCCCTCGGCTATCAGATGTTTACAATAAAAGACACTTCAACCATCATGCTCTACCCTGAAGACCTGCATTCACCGTCCATGTCACTAAGAGTGTCTTACACCTTACTATGTGGGGTTCTGCACGTTAACTCATCATCCCAGCGGGTCGGGGTCTCCCACGCTACAAGGGAAAGGCCCACAGGACCCAGGGCCTCGACGGAAGCCGTGGCGCTTTCCGGCCGGGCTGTGAGAGGTCTGCGGTGTTTCGGCAGCCGTACCTTCTCTTCAGCGGATGGCTTCCCCATTCAAGAGCTAGGTGTACTCCCTGCGGCCCCCCGGCCCTCGGGCCCGGGCGGTACACCGTCCGCCCTAGGACACGGG